GTATGAGCCCCTAATAAAATGATTTTTTTAAAATGGGCACTAGAAACAAAACAAAACCAAGAAAATGTGCCAGACATAGTGTTCCTAACTATGTTGTTTGTTCTTGTTCTGTGCTGTTGAGTTAGTTCAGTGACTCTACGTGCAAAAGAACAAAGCATTGCTTAGCCCTGTGCTATCCTTACAACTGTTGTTACATTTGAGCTCACTGGTGCAGGAACCGTCGATCCATCCCTAGGAATTGTTCCCTCTTGATAATATGACCAAAGTATGTGAAAGTCTCATCATCCTTGCGTCTAAGGAGCAGTTTGACGGTATTTCTTCTAAGATAGACTTATTTGTTCTGGCAGCCCATACCTTCAATATTCTTTGCCAACATCACAATATGAATGCATCAATTCTTATTCAGTCTTCCTTATTCATAGTTCAGCTTTCTCGTGCATATGAGGTGATTGAAATGTCATGGCTTGGGTCAGGAGCACCTTAGTTCTCAAAGGGACATCTTTGCTGTTTAACAATTTAAATAAGTCTTTTGAAGCAGATTTTCTAAAAATCTGTTGCAAAGGAATTGCTGTATACATGTAATCTATTGATCAAAACAGCCATTTCCAATATTATTATTTTTCACTTAATAAAATAAATTTCAAACCCAAATGATGGCTGAGCATGATAGTGGGAATAGAGGAAAGTAAAAGGAAATAAGAGGAAAGAATTAGGAGGCAAAGGGCATTTACAGAGGTCTAAATACAGGCATGTACATATGTAAATATATATATAATGATAGGGAAATAGATCTATGTACATATATACATAGGTTTAGTATTAAGGTAGCAGATGGACATTGGGCCTCCACTCAAGTAGTCTTTCAATGCAAGGACACCTTTTCTATTAAACTGGCATGCCATGATGCTCACCTTCCCAACACGATCGCTGAAGAAAAATGGGTGTATAAGCAAATGTGGTGAACAAAGCTGATGATTCCCGACTATCAAAAGATAGAGTCTGGGGTCTTAAAGGCTTGAAGTAAACAAGCAGCCATCTAGCTCAGAAGCAACAAAGCCCACATGTAAGAAGCACACCAGCCTGTGTGATCACGAGGTGTCGAAGGGATCAGGTATCAGGCATCAAAGAACAAAAAATCCTAATCATTGTGAATGAAGGGGAGTGCGGAGTGGGGAACCAAAGCCCATCTGTAGGTAACTGGACATCCCCTTACAGAAGGGTTGTGGGGAAGAGAGAAGTCAGTCAGGGTGCAGTGTAGTTCTTAAATGCTTCTTTCCTCGCCACGACTATCATGATCCCCATTCTATCTTCAAAATCTGGCTAGACCAGAGCATGTACATGGGTGCAGACAGGAACTGGAAACACAGGGAATTCAGGAGAGATGATCCCCTCAGGACCAGTGGTGAGAGTGGCAATACCGGGAGGGTGGAGGGAAGGAGGGGTAGAAAGGGGGACCTGATTACAAGGATCTACATACAACCGCCTCCCTGGTGGATGGATAGCAGAAAAGTGGGTGAGGGGAGATGTCGGATAGTGTAAGACATGACAAAATAATAATAATTTATAAATTATCAAGGGTTCATGAGGGAGGGGAAAAATGAGGAGTTGACGAATGATGAGGGCAATAAATGAACAAATGTGTGTGACACAATGGATGTATGTATGGATTGTGATCAGAGTTGTACGAGCCCCCAATAAAATGATTTTTAAAAATTTCAAAAAAGTTAAATTATTTATATAGCTATTTTCAAATTGCTGCAGGGAGATGAGTTGGGGCTTGGGGGTCCAGATTTAGATACCAGGCTTTGTATATAAAAAATGAGCAACTGCAACAATAAAATTTAAGATGATATTTATGGATTATGGTTCTTTTGGTTCTATTAGATTATTTTATAATTGCTTTAAGTATGATAACATTCTTTCAAAAGTAAAAGGAGCTTTGTTTTTTAAAATGGGGAAAAAAACCAAAACCCCAAGTCTTTGATTCTGAGTCATCGAGATTCCATAGGACAGGGTAGAACTATCTCTGTGGGTTTTTGAGGGTGTAAATATTTGCAGGAGCAAAAAGGTTTGTCTTTTTCCCATGGAATGGTTTTGAACCACCGACCTTTTGGTTAACAGCCACCTTATAACACCCTACTCTACCAACTCTCCTTAATTTTAAAAAAACTCATGACAAAAAGAATCAAATGAAATGAATTTTTTGAAAATCATATTGGTTATCAATAACAGTACTTAGTTGACTTACCTAGCTTCCTATTTTGCTTAGGCTGTGAGGAAGATCCATATTCATCTCTTCTATGAGAAGAAGCAGTGACTTCATTACCAAACTGTTTCACTTCATTGCTATGGTCCGCAGAATCAGAGCCATCAATTTTGAGAATTTCTTTAAGCATCCGTGTTCCCTTCTTTTGTGAACATTATTGGGATGGAGAAGAAAAGTTAGACAGCTTATTTTTCCTATGTTGAAGAAATTCATTGTTAAAAATTAAGATGCTAACTATATTTAAATAGAGAAGGAAATCAACAGTCAGACATTAAATGTACAAATAATCACTTTTTGTTAGCTTGACCCAATCACCTAGTAGCACTGTTTGAGAAGTAGGAGAGCTATGGTATATAAAAAAACAAAAAAGGCTAACATTCCCAGAAAGCCCGTTTCTTCATAAGTTGATAACAGAGATGCAGTACAGAAGCCCAGGTGAGAGAAAGGGCGCTACCAGTTGCACAGGGTAGATGTAACTAACCCACAGTTCCCCAGCTGCCACCTACAAAAGCCCCTGCGTGATACGAACCAGAGCAAATGACTGCGGTGACAAGTGTTCCTCACTTGGAGGCTCTTTGGGGGAAGACGGCTGCACTTCAGTTTCTCTGGAGATACTCAAGGATGCTAAAAAGTTCTCAATTCCAGGCTTAGGCTGCAAGAATAAAGATATTGTGCATGAAGAGGAAAATCTAACAACGGACGTGTGCAAGATAACGTACAAAAGTGTTTTTCAGTTTCACCCCTGTTCTTCCAAGGGTGATGGCTTGGGAAGGAGAAGGGAACGCACGGTCTGTTACCTTAGCCAGGGGATGTGAGGGAGCAGTCACAACCTGCTGAGTTTCTGAGACTTCCGGACTTTCATTTCTCTTCAGTAGTTTAATATTGCATTTGGCAGGTCCTCCAAAAGTCTATAAAAAAGTTAAGAATAAGCTTTTAATTTGGGGGGTGGGGGTGGGGGTAAACAACATTTATGACTATTACTCAGTAGTGGTCTAAATAAATTTCTGCAATATTTTTCAAGTACTATTTTCCATTTTACAGGGAAAGAGACAGGAAAGAAAAGACTAAAGTGGATGTCAGAAGAGAGTCTTAAACTTGCTCTTGAATGCAGAGTATGGTAAACTGAGGGACTGGATGAGAATGAAATGCAGCTAAATCCTCTAAGCTTGTAATTATGAGTCTGGAAAGCCAACTCCGGTGGGGGATGACCCTCACAGTTATGATATAAATAAATCTTAAGACACAGTCTCATGACTGAACACATGAATTGTCATAAAGGAGGTACCATAAAAGATATCTCATACCTATGTCTATTTCCTGTGCCCGGAGGTTACCTGTAGATAAGAGCAATCAGGTTCTATAGTCCAACCCACTGTAAACTGTAACATAACCCTCTTCTGATTCTCTTACTGAGAATGATCAGAGATTACTCCCCTGGTGCGGGCTCAGGGGCATTTCAGATAAACTAGCACTAGGTCAAGATGCTGATTCACCCCACTGCTTGTTTATCATGGTACCTGCTTATGATATTACCCACTGACTATGTAACATGTTCGCTGTATGACATGTATGCCTTTTAAAAGCACATTTCCTCTCTTGGTCCTGACACTGGGAGAAGGAGCCCCTGTGCTCTGCTCTCTACCTTCATTATTTCCACAATTTCAAAGTTGCTTCTGAGGACCCATTGAGTGCTGGGGACCTCATACCCCAACAGTAGAGTAACTATAGTGAATGGAAGAAATGATGAGGCAAAAGAGCTGAGTAGAAACTTACAGAGGGTGGCTCTAGAAGACAATAAAAACTCTGATAATGAAATGTGCAAATACCCGTGGTTAGAAAACCAAAAGGGAGCCTGTACATTTGTATGGGGGGAAAATTACACCTTTATTTTCATTAAGCTCTAAATTATATTTAGCATTTTCTTCAATCATGAACTTAGGTAATAAACCATGGTAATAAGTGTAGCAATGATTCTGGTTGTGCTTCATCATAATCAGTTTTCTTGCAAATCCCAGGTATTTTATTCTGAGGAAGGTCCTCAGGGTTCACCAAACTGCCAAGGAAGCCCATGGCACAAACAGTTCCTTTCTACAAGGAAAGCTAATTATAACATATAAGTTTCTGAAGGTCTTAACAGTCAGATAATTCAACCCTTCTTCGCTGGTATCAACAATTAATGTGCTCCATTTACCAGGGGACAACTGCAGAACAGACCATCAATTGCTTATATATGTACAAGTTCAAGTTGAATCTGAAGAAAACTAAAACAAGTCCACAAGAACCAAAACAGGTAGTTGATTACAAACCACCTGAATTCAGAGACCATCTCAAGGACAGATTTGATACATCGAACACTAGTGATCAAAGAACAGATGAGTTGTGGTATGATGTAAATCAGTGGTTCTCAATCTTTCTAAGGCTGGGACCTTTAATACAGGTCCTCATGTTGTGGTGACCCCCAGCCAACAAATTATTTTCGTTGCTACTTCATAACTGTAATTTTGCTACTTTTATGAATTGTAATATAAATATCTGATATGCAGGATGTATTTTCATTGTTACAAATTGAACATAATTAAGGCATAGTGATTACTCACAAAAACAATGTATAATTATATTTGCGAAATATTTATTTCTAATTACAAATAAATGAAATTTTGTCTTGAAGCATGGTGTCGCATGGGTAACAGTCTTCATGCCAGGTACTCGTATGTAGGCGTATCTGCATGTGGGTGGACCCGCCTGGAGATATGTGTTTTCTGATGGTTTTAGGCAACCCCTGTGAAAGGGTTGTTGGACCCCCCAAAGGGGTCACAACCCACAGATTGAGAACCACCGATGTAAATGAAAGCAAAAGGTCATTAAAAAGATAGGAAAGAAAGAAAAGACAAAAGTGGATGTCCGAAGAAATGCTGAAACTTGTTCTTAAATCTACATTCAAGTAACAAGAGGAAACAGATGAAATGATGAGGTCAAAGAGCAGAATAGAAAATTTCAAAGGGCAGCTTGAGAAGACAGTGTAAAGTATTATAATGAAATGCACAGAGACCTAGAGTTAGAAAAGCAAAAGAGAAAACTATGGGCAGCATTTCTCAAGCTGAAAGAACTGAAGAAAAAATTCAAAGCAAAGAAGATAAAGGACTACATCCTTCAATATGCATTATACCACAAATTAAAGCAGCAAAAATTCTTACAAGATTTATAAGCAACATCATGATAAAGAGAAAAGATTGAAGCAGTCAAGGATTTAATTTTATCTGGATCCACATTTAACACCCATGAAAGTAGCAGTCAAAAAATCAATGACATATTGCATTGGGCAAATCTGCTGCAAAAAACCCTCTTTAAGGTGTTAAAAAGTAAAAATATCACTCTGAGAATTAAGTATGCTTGGCCCAAGTCATGATATTTTCAAATGCTTGGACAATGAATAAGGAAAACTGCAGAAAACGCGACGCCTTTGGGTTACAGAGTTGGCAAACAACACTGAACACTCGACGGGCTGACTGCCAGAAGAACACAGAAACTGTTCTGGAGAAGTCCAACCGGAATGCTTCTTAGAAGCAAGGATGGCAAGACTTTGTCTCCTGCACTTTAGAAATGTTTTCAAAAGCGACTAGTCTCTGGAGAAAAGATACCATGCTTGGTATAGGAAAGGAAGATCCTCACAGAGATAGTGATAATGCAGGGACGAAACAATGTGCTCAAATGTGGTAGATTGTGAGGATGGTGCAGGACCACACACCTATTTTGTTCTGTTGCATATAAGGTCTCTATGATTGGAACGGACCCGATAGCACATGACTCAAGACAACAATTAGTATAAGAGATCTAATTGTTAAGTCTTCGTATTAGATAACAATAAGTGCACGGAAAAATATATACACTATATGTGCACTGGTTATTTGTTATTTGTGGAGCCTATATTCAATGAGGCAGAAATGATCTTGGCTTCCATCATAATAATCTAACTGCCCAGAATTAATAATTAACCCATTAAGTTTGCTTTGTTATTTTATATAATTTCAAGGTGTAAACTAACACCTGAGAGAAAGATGGGGCTTTATGCTCCTGTAAAAAATTACAGTTTTAGAAACTCACAGGGGCATTTCTATACTATCCTATTGGGTTGCTGAGTCAGCTTTGACTCGATGGCAGTGAGTGGGGTTTTTTGGTTTATAGTAACATATATTTCCACATATCTATCTCCAGGCACACACATATGTACATATAGATTTAAAGGAGACGTAGTGGCTCATCAGTTAAGCTCTCAGCTGCTAACCAAAAGGATGGTGCTTTGCAGGGAAAAATCTGGTGGTGGAACTATATGTGACCTCCTCCCTGGGGGACAGACAACCGAAAAGTGGGTGAAGGGAGACGTCGGACAGGACACGATATGACAAAATACCAATTTATAAACCATCAAGGGCTCATGAGGGAGGGGGGAGCGGGGAGGGAGGGGAAAAATGAGGACCTAATGTCGGGGGTTTAAGTGGAGAGAAAATGTTTTGAGAATGATGTACAAATGCGCTTTACACAATTGATGTGTGTATGGATTGCGATAACAGTTGTATGAGCCCCTAATAAAATGTTTAATTAAAAAAAAAAAAAGATGATGGCCAAGAAAATCCCATGGGACAGTTCTACTCTGTCCCATGGGGTCACTATCAGATCTGATTACATGGCACCCCACAACAGACACAGGTATACATGGAGGCAATTTTATCTTCATTTTAATGATGAAGTAATTGAGGCTGTAAGATATGAAATGATTATCTCAAAGCCAATCAGTAACTAAGTGGCAGAAAGGCAATTGGAGCCACATGTTTCTAGTTCCAAATCCTGAATTCTTGCTGTATAATTTCCCATCAAGTGGCTCTTACTCAAACATCTTACAAATTTGGTTAAAGGAGTTGCATAGTGCCACAGAAAAATTATATTTAAAAAATCAGCTACTAGAAATTTGATGTTAAAAAGTACCTCAAATGTACATAAACTTAGCAGATGTTATACACAGACACACACACACACAAACTTTACAATAAAAAAAGGTAAGTTTGCTCTCCGCCAGACTGCTATTGTGCACTCATCCTGGACATCAGCTGTGTGTCGCCATCAAGCTGGCCAGAGTCACCAAAGTGCGGGGCAGGACCAGCTCCCAGGGACAGTGCACGCAGGTGCAGCTGGAGTTCACGGATGACACGACACGAACCACTCCATCATCCAAAGTGTGGAAGGCTCCATGCACCAGAGTGACGTGCCCACTTTACTGGAGGCCAAGCGAGAAGCCCAGAGGCCACAATGAAGCTGCTATCAGTTCTCAGATGTCTGGTTGGCCACTTGAGCTGTGACTGTTCAATAAAACGTTTATATTGTTAAAAAAAAAAAAGAAGGAAAGCTTACCTGCTTATTTGACAGTTTTTGTGTTTGACATTCATTTTTAGGATTCTTACATTCTTCTTTAACTAGAGTCAAGATAATAGAAATTTTGGTAAATTAATGAGCTTAGTGTACACCAATTAAGTTTATCAAATACTTTCCATAGCAAAGCACTGAGTTAAAGATTCAGAAAATTCCCAAAGGACTCAGTCTCTAAACATGAGGAATAACATAGGTGAGATGGAGAAGAGATATCTACAGATAACAATAAGAGAAAGGAAAAGTAGTATCTGAATTGGGCCTTGCAGGATGGGTGACTTTTAAAAGGCTGAATAGGAGACTAAGTATTTTACACAAAAGGAATAATGGGGGCAAAGACATGGAAGTGGAAAGCATGGCAAGATGTCTATGGGCATCTCAGAACCCCAGTTTAGTTTTAGGATATGGAGCATACTGGGGGCTAATGGCACTAGGGAGGCAGGTTGGAACCAGATATTGAACACTGGACTTAAACTGGTTGGCAATGACCTAACAACCAGCAACATGTTTTAAGCAAGTTATAAGAGCTGTGGCTTTAGAAAGATTAAATTAAGGTCCTGTTCTACATAAGATTTTAAAAAGACAGTGAAAAGAAATTGGAGAATGGTAGAAAAAATGGAGAGGATGATTTTTGAAAGAGCTGGAGACATAATCCATTTTATTTAACAAATTATAGGATATAAGGAATAAGGGCATACAGCAGTGGTTTTCAACCTTCCTAATGCCTCGACCCTTTAATACAGTTCCTCATGTTGTGGTGCCCCAACCATCAAATCATTTTCGTTGCTACTTCAAAACTGTAATTTTGCTATTGTTATGAACTGGGCGCAACCCCTGTGAAAGGATCGTTGAACTCCAAAGGAGTCGTGACCCACAGGTTGAGAACCACTGGCATAAGGGAATAAGTGAAGATTAGAAACATGGTTTGTAATCATTGTACAATATTCTATGATGGTAATTGTACTGGATTAAAATGGGTACTCACAACTCATGTTACTACTTTTTATCATTGGACTGTATCTACATAATCTAAAAAAGGTTGTGAGTGGGGTGAGGGGGGAGAAAGAAAGCCCAAAGGAGGCAAGAGGGCAGGGGCAGTTGGGGCAGGGGTAGTGACAGGTAAATGCAGAAGGAGTGGAGGAAATGGGAGGCCTGAAGTCAGGGTTTAAAAGGAAAACAAAGAGGTAAAGAGGGCACCAACAGTGAAAAGAAAGGGTAAGGAGAAGGAAAAATAGGACAGGAAGTGAAGGGAGGAACATAAAAAAGTAATATTTAAACAATGTTTTAAGAAGGAAAAGTAAAAGTGAATTGATTTGCATTAACTTTAATCTTTGTTGTCAGACCCCACACAAGATAACCAATTGACATTCCACAAAAGGGCTTAAATCACTTATATAAATATATGTAAACAAATAATTTGGAGAAAATTCACAGTTTATTATGAAAGATCAAATCTTCAACTATATTTATTGGCTTTATAGAAACACAAATCTGTATTTAACTTAAAATGCAGAAGAAAAAATATACAGTGTCATAATAATTAGTCTATGCATTTATCAAATAGAACCATATTTTAATATATTTTTCAAAAACATTCAAAATTATTTTTATAATACATGTAATATTTGATACATTAAAAATGCTGTGACCACCACTACAATAACCTGTTGCTTTCAAGCCGATTCCAATTCCTAGCAACACTCAGCAGAGTAGAATGCCCCAGTAGGGTTCCCAAGGCTGTGAATCGGTATGGAAGCAGACTGCCACCTCGTAACTACTGCCCCACCAGTGCACACGTATAAAAGTAGAGGAAAATAAAATAGTCTCAGCTCCTGTGCTTGAATCAGTTTCCTTGCTGGGCAACTCTTCAGATGGCTTTGTACAAGAAATACATCTCTGTGTTATTCATGTCTCTGGTTCAAATGTTATCTTTTGAGAGGCCTTGTTGGACACCTTATTTAGAATAGCATTTTGACTGTAAGCTACTTAAAGCACTATCATTAGTTCAGAACATGGCATTTATGGTTTACTTGCTAATATGAATTTCCATCTTAGAATGTGAATACCAGGAGAGGAGAAAGTTCGTCCATCTGATTCACTCATTTCATCCAGAACTCAGAACAAAACTGGCATATAATAGCACGATAAATTGCAGTTGAGTACATAAATAAAAAGCAATTGTTTCATATTTTGAATGTATAGATACATTTCTGCAATTTGGGAATATTTTGATCAAGAGAAGAATAAGTAGTTGCTGGATCTCATCTTTTTTTTTTTTAATCTTTTTATTGGGGGCTCTTACAGCTCTTATCACAATCCATACATATATCCATTGTGTCAAGCACATTTGTACATATGTTGCCATCATCATTTTTAAAACATTTTCTTTCTACTTGAGTTCTTGGTATCAGCTCATTTTTTCCTCTCCCTTTCCCATCTTCACAAGTCCTTGATAATTTATAAATTATTATTTTTTTCATTTCTTACATCGACTACTGTCTCCCTTCACCTACTTTTCTGTTGTCTGACCCATGGGAGGGGGTTATATGTAGATCATTGTGAGAAAGGGATGCCCCTTCCTCCCCCCACCTTCCCTTACCCTCCCAGTATCACTACTCTCATTATTGGTCCTGAGGGGTTTATTTGTCCTGGATTGTACATGCTCTGGTCTAGCCAGATTTGTAAGGCAGAATTGGGGTCATGACAGTGGGGGCGGGGGGGTGGGGGGGGGAGAAAGAGGAAACATTAAAGAACTAGAGGAAAGTTGTGTGTTTCACTGGTGCTATACTGCACCCTGACTGGCTTGTCTCTTCCTTGTGACCCTTCTGAAAGGGGATGAGAAATAAAATGTATCCCAAGAAGCTGCTTGTCAGAGGCCACCAACCAAAATAACGGCCTAAGGAATGTGATAAACCTTAAAGCTAATTAAACAAGCTTTCTTTGTTCCTTTCATAGATCAAAATACACATCTTTGGAAATGGAATGTGTAGTTATGAATGTTGATTTTTACATAAAATGTCTAAACCCTGCTCTGTAACCTCTCTGCAGTAATACATGTGATGTTCAGGTGGGATATACTCAAGATCATACTTTGTCATTTTTGGACTTTTTAATTTTTTCAGCTTCCACTTGAACTTGCGTGTGAACAATTGATACATTTTTTCCCCAGTCACTCCTGGGTTTTATTTTGGTTGATGAGATTGAGTATCTCAACTGTCTCTTTCCACAGATAAAATAATTTCATCTCTGTATAATCCATCTGGTAAGGTATAACAGACATCTATATTGTAGAGCAGGGGCGCTCAATAGGTCGATCTCGATCTACTTACTAGTCGATCGCAAATGTAGAGTGGGTAGATTGCATGACATTAAAAAATAGACGTAAGTCTATCATCAATCCCGTCAGTTAAATGATATACAGCGCAGCCAATCAGATGCAATCTTAGGGGTCAAAAGTATGCACAAACAACTGCGCTAAGTGCAGCAAAACTGACAAGCTAAGTTATCGCCAATTTTTAGACCTTGATTTTTTTTTCTTAAATGTAAGAAAGGGTATTAAAATAAGTGGGGGAGCTGGACCAAGTAAGAAGACAAAAACATACCACTTTCACACGGATTTGGAGATTTTGATACTACAAGCCGATATTCAGCTGAACAGTTCAGGAACTTAACTCATAGTTGGAAAGTGCCCAAACATGAGAAAATGTGTTACCCCCTTGACTGCATTATTTGGCTCTACTTATTTATGTGAGTCAGCTTTTTCCCATATAAAGACCATTAAGTCCAAGTACCATTCCACCATGACTTATGATCATTTGCAAGTGTGCTTGAGCCTGGCTGTCAGCAGCTACTGTCCAGACTATTCATCCCTGGCTGATTCCATTCAGTGCAAGTCATCAGAGTAAACCCAGGTAATGACAAAAAATGCACAGTGTTAATTGTGTTGTGTTGTGCAATATGGATTCATGCAGTTATGCAAGGCACATAAGCATACATTGTACATATAAAGAATTCTCAATGCATTTATGAATAAATGTATTAAATAAATTAATTAAAATTAATATCTGTTTCGCATTTTTGTAGTTGGTAGACCATTTTGACTTGGTCATTTTATAAGTAGCCCGCATGCTGAACAAGTGTGAGCACTGCTGTTGTATGGTATGCTATGTATAGTAGTTGTTTATGTTGTTGGAAAAAGGCATTTGCAGTTATTAAGTCTTTGGTCTTGCAAAACTCTATCATGTGATCCCCAGTGTCATTTCTATGACCAAGGCAGTATTTTCCAACTACCAATCCTTCCTCTGTTCTGGCAGCACATCCAAGTACAGCAAGCCAAAAAATAAAATAAAATAAATTATATTTCATCAAAATGAAAATATTTTGTTTCTAGGGTTCTGTACAGAAAGTCAAAAGGCAGCACATGGAATAGGAGAAAGCTTTTGCAAATCATATATTTAACAAAGATTTACCATCTAGAAATATAAAAAACTTTTGTAACTTAAGACAAAAAAGATGAATTTTCAAATAGAGTAACTAACTGAATAGTTAGTTTTCCAGTTATACTAGTAGCTAAGAAAAACAAGCAGAGATGTTAAAGGTTTAGTTGTTAATGACATATAAATAAAAACAAGAATGAGAATTTACTTTACTTCGACTTAGATATTTCCTAAGATATTAGGGGGAAAAAGGAAAATAACAACTGATGATATGGAAATATTGGAGCCCAAATATATTGATGCTGTGAGTGTAAGTCATACAGTCCCTTTGAAACACAGTTTGCAGGGCCAACAAGGAAAGTAGAGACACCACCAGGAAGATTGGGGGAGGGGGAGGGGAGAAACGGGGAATGGATCACAGGGATCAATCTAGAACTCCTTCCCAGGGGTAAGAATAAGGGGAACATGGGTGAGGGGTGATGGAGGACAATGTAAGATACGGAAAATATAATCTGTAACTTGTCAAGGGTGAGGGAGGGAGGGAGGATGGGAGAGGGAAGGGGAAGAAATGGGGAGCTGATATCAGGGGCTCAAGTGGGAAGTGAATGCTTTGAAAATGATGGTGGTGGCATATGTGCAAATGTGCTTGACACACTGGATGAATGCATGGATTGTGATAAGAGATGTAAGAGCCCCCAATAAGAGTATTTAAAATAAAGAAAAAGAAAAACAGTTTGGCGGGGTGCAAAAAGTTATAAATAGAGGTGTCCTGTGACCCAGCATTCTACTCCTCAGTATATACCTAAGAAGACTGCAAGCATATGTTAAACTAAAACTTCATGCAAGAGCATTCAAAGCACTATTTGTAACAGGCCTAAAGTACATTCAACCCAAATGTCATAAACAAAATAAATATAATTCAGCCATAATAAAAGAATGATACATGCTATTGGTCAGATAAACCTTGAAAACATTATGCCAAGTGAAAGGAGGCAGTCACACAAGCCCTTATATTATATGACTACATGTATATGAAATGCCCAGAATATACAAATCCATTATGACAGAAAGAAGATAAGTGGTCGACAGTAGTCAGGGCTAGAAGAAAAATGGAGAGTGACCATAAGGAATAGCAGGTATCATTTGTGTTTAATGATATTCTAGAATTAGATAGTGGTAGTGGTTTCAGAATTTCATGAAAGTCCAAAAAATTCTACAGAATTGTCTATTTAAAATATGTAATTTTATGGTATATGAATTATGTCACAGCAAAGTTATTAATTCTAAAAAGCCAACAAAACCAAGCATTTAGCACTGCAAACATACTTTTCTAATTGAAAACTTACATTTTTTATGGGGATCATATTTTCTTTGCTGATCTTTAATACTGTTGTCATTGATGCCAGATTTATGATGTTGAGTTACTTGACTTATTGCTTGAGGTAGAGTTGTACCCTGAAAGTTTTAATGGTTAAAAATTAACAAAATCTTGATATAAAATACTTTTCTCCAAATTTTAATTAAAAATTATTTGCTATTTTATAAATAAGTTTATTAGAAAAAAGTTAAGCAATGAATGCAGGAAAGTATCTTCCCTCAAAATCATTGTTGAAACAAAAATCACTGTTGAGTCAATTCTGACTCATAGCGACCCTATTATACAGGGTAGAATCTCCCTTGCAGGTGGCTGAGCCTGTAATGCTTTGTGGGAGTAGAAAATCTCCTCTTTAACACTTGAAGCAACTGGTTGTTTCTAGCTGACATTGTAGCTAACACCCGATCATGTAACCCACACCTCATCATCAGGGCTTCACACTGAAGAATACAGCAATTTTAAAAACACCCCTCAAATCCAACCACTCAGAACCATCATTAACAAAAGTGCCATTACTCCAGACATTTCTGTATGTATTAATATAGATAGTAAGAAACACAGAAAGCCATTTTATACAAATGTTATTTTCAACAGAAAGTATTACATTTAATTTCACTTTAAGTTTAGAAATGCAGAAGCTAAAGTAAAATGGGAGGACAAATAAACTTTACACAAATTTTTTTCATAACAAAAATTCTTTGTATATTAACTTCAAAATAATGCCATCTTTGAGATGGAGGGTGGAAAAAAAGGTGGGTGTGATAGAATAATTATGACTGCAAATATGTAAAGTCTAGTATGAGTATTTGTGGATTAAAGTAACCTCTTTCACTATATTTACATCTTTCCATTAAAAAGCTATTAAAATTCATCACTGCTGATTCTACTATGAAAGTTAAGAATATTATTAGTTCATTTAAATGCACTTCTCTTTCCCCAACTTGTTTTCTTTTTAAATCATTTTATTAGGGGCTCATACAACTCTCATCACAATTCTTACATACATCAATTGTGTAAAGCACATTTGCACATTCATTGCCCTCATCATTCTCAAAACATTTCCTCTCCACTTAAGCCCCCGGCATTAGGTCCTCATTTCCTCCCCCAACTCGAGTTTTATTAAATATTCATATTATCAAAGTTTTCAGATGATGGAAGACATATTACCAGAAGGCTAGACTGATGATAAAGAAACCATCGAGCTGGTGCCAGCATGGATAGAATTACAGTTCATATAAATATAAAGATCTTATCAGATTCCTATTTATTTATTATTAGTTAGGGAGAGGAAGCTTGATGGCAAAAAGAAACCAGACAATTAAAATGTCAAAATGTCAAAAAGAAACAACAATGGAGGCTAGAGATATTTAATATAAGCTGATAATTTCACAATTTTACTTTGGGCTGAGCCAATTAATTTTCTTCTGGAAACAGACAAATGAACACTGGGTATAAAAGTACATCATGGTCAAAAAAAAAAAAAAAAGTACATCATGGTCTAGCTGCTTTGAAACAGTCGTGATAGGCATGAGTATGAAGTGATGTGAAAGGCATCAAAGATTTATGTCAGCCTAGCACAATGGCTGGTGGGTCTTTGGACTACAGCAGCACAGTACAGGGGTTTTAGATATTAAGGAAGGGAATTAGACGGTCAGGATCAAAGGATGGGTACAAACAACTATTCTGTGAGCATCTATTCTGTGCCAGACAATGTGAGATGTACTTTGCACACATTATCTTAATATCATCATAATAATGTGATAATCCTAAAAATTCAGTGACGTATCTTGATTTCATTTCATAGATGAGTAAGCTTAGGGTCCAAGTGGTATGTTGGTCAGACAGCTAAGCACTGGGAAATATGACATTTGAGCTCAGATTTGTCTAATTTCAAAATTCATGTTCATGACGCCACTTCAGAGAAAGTGTGCTATAAATTTAATTAGCAAACAAACATTTTAGTGCTGAGTAGTGTTTTGGGTTGCTTTTAACATGGTTCTATTTGATATCTATATGAAGCCATTTGTGTTAGTCATATTGTCATATTTTATCAATATAGGCTAGATATTTTTATTATAGTGAGTTCTTCAGAATTTTCTCATCAAATAAAAACCAGATTGCTTATTAACATTTAGGTGTATATTTGGTGGCTCATACTTCTTGGAACATGAAGGAAATAAAACATGAGTATGAATAGTTATTTGTACCAGATGATGTATGCAGATGATTCTGAGAAACATATTAAGTTCTTTCTTCAAGAAGAAGTCTAACATGACTAGTCACCTAGACTATGACACATCAGTTAGACGAGAGGATAGTTACAGTATGTGTTAGTCCAGGTGTACTAGAGAAAAAAATTCAGGGACACTCATGTGTAGAAGAAAGAGCTTTATATACAATAGCAATTGAACATTGAGAAAACATCCCAGTCCAGTCCAGATCAAGTCCATAAGGCTAATATTAGCCCATATGTCCAATACTCATCTATAAATTCCTCTTCAGACTCAAGAAATACATGCAATGATGCTGAATGCAGGATGATCACAGGCCAGTGGGTGAAAAGTCTTGTGGATCCAATGGCAGTGGAAACATCCCAGCGCTGGCAGGGTCTCCACGTGGCTCCTTCTGCTCCAGGGCTCTAGCATAGCTCCATGAGTCTTGTTCGCAGAACTATCTCACAGGGAGTGTGTGTGTGTGTGTAATCCCACCTCCAGCGAGCTATTTATCTCCTTAGCGCCTCCAAATGAGATCATCAAGCTCTACACCTTCACTCTTAAGTCTCAAATTGACAACAGATTATGTAACTACCACAGAGTGAAAGGAACAAAAGCTCACTCATGTCCAGAAATTAAAATCATCTGTTTACAGAAAAGGGAAAGTAAATAGTATCTTCTGACTGGAAGAAACTATTTTAACACACTGTTGGGTTTACTTTGTGTGAATTAGGCAAGGTTAGATTATAGAAGGTCTTAGGTATTAATGTGAGGAGTTAAGGTTGGATTCTAGTAGTACTAAACAGGGAGTTCAATATATTCTTTTTTTTTTTTTTAA